ATAGATAGATAGATAGATAGATAGATAGATAGATAGATAGATAGATAAAATAAATAAGCTAAGGGTAAAGAAAACCAATAAAAAGAAATGTTGAATTTGCAGCCAGGACTCCCAATGAGACAGACAGAAATGCAGACTAGAAAGTAGGCCTAAAAACAGTTACTGCACAAAAACATACCATCCATCCATCCATCCATCCATCCATCCATCCATCCATCCATCCATCCATCCATCCATCCATCCATCCATCCATCCATCCATCCATCCATCCTTCCTTCCTTCCTTCTATCCATCCATCATCTTTAGCCGCTTCTTCCTTTCGGGTCATGGGGTTTACTGGTGCCCATACGTAATAATCACTGTACGAGAGGCAAGGGACACCCTGGACAGATCTCCAGTCCATCACAGGGACACAGAGACAAAAGAGACAAACAACCATTCACTCTCTTGCTCACACCTAGGGCCAATTTAGAATTACCACTCAGTCTAACATGCATGTTTTTTGTTTGTGGAGGAAACTGGAATACCCGGAGAAAACCCACGCATGCACAAAGAGAACATGCAAACTCCACTCAGATAAGCCCCTGGCCAGGATTTCAACTGGCGACCTTCTCACTGTGAGGTGGCAGCTCTACCAACTAAGCCACCATGTCACCCACAAAAACATACCTTGTATTGAAAAACAACTGAAGCTGAACTTCATGAAGAAAAAACATCTAGTTGTCACATTTGTACATTTTTATGTCTACAGTGTTTTAGGGAACAAACATGATAGTTTATTTTATTTTATTTTTTTACCATTCAACCTTTATTTATACAGCTTAATCACACTGAGCCTCAGAGACTCATTTACAAGTAAGCTCTGTATTAGACAGACAAAAATGTAGAGAAAAGAAACACGAGGGGAAAGGAGGCAAAAAAAAAAAAAAAAAAAAAATCTCACACTGCGCCCTGACCGAGGCACAGTGTGAAAGTTGAGGAAAAAAGACCCTGCACATAAACAGCATGATGACACAGACATTCTGCAGGGAGGAGGAAGCCGAGAAGGGCGGTGAGATTGTCCGTGAACACTACCAGAGGTTCCATAGTCCTGATAAAGATGGTACAGTGTCAGCCAGCTTGCTCTGATAAGGGTTCACAGATGTTCTCGGGGAGCAAGGGAGGGAGGGGGCAGAGCAAAGCATCATGGTTTACAAAACCTCCAGGAGCATTTGAGATAAGGTGGCCTGTCCAAGGCCTGCTGGGGAGCCTATTTCAGATAAATAGCAGTTGTTTTGGGACAGACAGACTTTACTGAGTTCACGTCTGCCTTCAGTCTTTTGCTGGTACTCTCAGTGGCGAATCCAAACATCCAGATTTTGTGGTCAAACCGCCGGTCCGTGCAAGTAGCCTTCTCCGAGATCGATTCCTTCAAAGCATAGTCTGAGCGCTCGTAGCACGGTGCAAACCTTCATATAAGGCAGGAAGCCTCATCAATGCCAATACTACAGCTGACGTCTTCCTAATTTGTCAATATCCCAGAAACCTGATGATTCCAAAAAGCAGAAACCCTGTTATCATAAATCCAATTATGTACACGTCTTCAACATCCTCTATGGACAATTCAGACAGACATATCCTCTTCCGTCCACCCCAGGAATCTATGACATATCCGGCTGCATGCGTCCCTTCAGGGCATAAGGTTTCTCATGCACCCTGTCTTCTCATCGAGAAAATTTTATAAATTGTGTTGAGAGACCAGCTGACCAGATCCATAACAATTTACGATTCGGAAGTCGTGTAATGAGAAGCACTGAGGCAGATTCACAAACGGAGCAAAAGCAGAGGAGGGAGGCAAGAGAGGGGAAAAAGGTATCTGCCTTCGTCGAAAGCAAGTGGTGAAGACATGATAGGCTCTAGTTTTGAAGAGAAAAATATGAACTCTGAAAAAAGAGTCAATGAGAGTTGGGGTATTTGCAGACCTCACTCTGAGAAGATAAAAAAAAAAAAAAAACAGCATAAGTCCTGTGTCCGTAAAAGAAATACAGTACTGTGTGAATGAAGATGAAAATGCTAAAGTTTTGGTGTCTTAAAATAAACTCTAAAAGAAATGTAAAGTTTGTGAGAGTTATAAGAGTTTTTAGAAAATTAGTGTGTGACATTATCTCACTTCGTTAAATAGTCTCTGATACAATCTTCAAAGATACTAAAACCTCAGTGGTGGTTGTAAATGCTGGTTCATTCACAGTGACATTTTCCTTGACCCTTTTAAACTTTGAATGATGTTTCTACTGTGAAGTTTGTCTGAGCTCTGGAGCTTTAATTAGATCTGGGATTTGTCATGAGTTTCAACAAATCCCCAGTAATGTGTGGATTCGTTTTGCATGAGTTATATGAATTTTCTGACACCAAAAGTTACAGCACACTATTTTGAATCAACACTCATGTTTTGATTTATTTTGGGGAACAATAGTCCAGTGCTTTTTTATTGGCACCATTGATTACTGTACATGTTACTGTACCGTTACTGAGTGAATAGGGGACTTGGAAATACCATCTGTCCATCTTGTGACTTGGATAATTAAAAAAAATAAGTAAAAAAAAACAACTTCCATTTTAGTGTGTGACTGCATCTAAGGGTAAGAAAGGTCACTATGAAAAATTGGGTTGCCACGTCAAAATTCAAAAATGGTCACCGCCATATGTATATGTGTTAAATGGCCACCCCTATTACTTCCAGAAACTATGCTTTCTAGTTTTTTATATTGCTTAAAAGTATATGTACCTCAAAAGATTGGGGTGGCCATGGCTCCGCCATTGCACCTGGTGGTGAATAAAACATCTCCCTCAGCTCACCAGGATCTGTCACTCTGCGCCGCCTCAAACAAACATAAAAATTTAAATAAATAAAAACAGATCTACCTCTGTACCCAGTTTACACAATTTCATTCCACCTCATAGGTTTATTGTCATGTCACCACATGTGGTGACATGACAATAAACCTACTTGAAGTTGAACTCATGCCCACTTGTATATCTTGCACCAAAAACATTAAAGTTTGCGTGCATTTTTCGGTTCATATCCAGTCCAGAAAAACACTCATCTTGAAAACTTCAAACATTCACTATTCAAATCCTTCAGTGACATGGGACATTAGTGTACCGCTTGTTATTAAATGCTATTGTTTTCATTTCATCATCCAATGGTAGAAAATGTACAATGAACACATTTTTTACAGTATATGCGCAACAAATGGTTTGTGGTACATGTTGGTCTTCTGAAGAAAAGCCTGATACTTTGCAAAACTTTACTCAGCTTCTTTCACACTGTGATTTCCTTAAACATACTGTAGATCAAACTGTTGTCTTTTTCCCTGCTGTGCTGAAGGCTGACGGCCAGGAGGTGGCATCAGTGGCGAGCGCCCAGGAGATCCGAGTGGTGGCAGAGCTGCTGCAGATCTCACCTGAAGGACTGCAGAAAGCCATCACCTACAAAGTCACGGTCTGTGTTAAAACACGTCATTGTGTGGACATTTTAAGTCTATATGCTCTGCCTTTCCCAGACTGGACTGTAAATGATAACTCTGTCAGACTCATCTTGACCTGCAGCAGGCCGGCCTCACACACATAGTTACTTCCAAGGCTTTGTATCGACCCCAAGGTCACTACACAGACACAAAGGAGACACGTTGTTCCCACATGCAGAGCACAAGAATGACAAAACACTGCCACTAATCTGCCTCCACCATTGTCTTGTCCCTTTAGGAATACCTGTCAGAGCCAAGTTTACTGGTAAAAGACTCACAGTAGTTCCTGTGAGTCGGGTTAGATCCGTTTGATCTGTCTGTGAGCAAAGAATAAAGCCGGCAAAATCCTGTTCTGGAAAGGTTTGCCTCTCAGTTCTCAAGTGCGCAACAAGAATATGTAATTGTAATTAAAAATGGCTACAAAGTGTGCTTTAATGCACCAACGCTGAGCTTTCAGTTCTCACGTTTTCTTTTTTCTGTGCAGGACAGAAATAATCATTTTTGGTCCAAAAATTTCTGGGGATTTTAGTTTTGCAAATACATCTAGATCGGGGTCTGCAACCTGTGGCTCTGGAGCTGCATGCGGCCCTTTGGTTCCTCTGCAGAGGCGCTTTCAAACTGTGTCCAAAACCAACAAACCGCTGCTAGTTTTAACAGTTTCATGTCATTTCTTTTGCAAATTTGTGAATACTAGTACTAATACAAGAAGTAAAACACACTCACTTTAACTTTATTTCTTTAAAGTAGCATATTTAATTTTTCCACTATTTAAAAAAAAAATCACTAGATCTGCATACTTCTTTGTTTTTATTTTTTTTAAAGATGGTAAAAACTATAAAAAATAAAACCTTCTTTACAATAATCAGGTCTTTTCTTTTGTCTTAAAATGTCAAAACATCAACAAGTGTTAAAAATCAGATCATTTTAGTTTTATTATGTCACTCCTGGCCTGAAAAGCCTCCTCCAACAAACTTAAAGTGGTCCACGAGCCACCAGTTGATAATCACAGTTGGAGCAGGTTTTGTGGCTCCGGACATTTTAATGTAGTGAACAAAGGGGCAGAAATGGCTCTTTGGATTGTCAAGGTTGCAGACTGATCTAGATGTAAAAAATAGGAATACATTCTTATTATATCTTTAAATTAAATCCATTTCAGCACAATTTGACATCCTCTTCTTACAAAATAAAAGCCAAGTTCCCATGAAATGTGTAAGATGAAGCAAATCCAGTATGAACAAAAGAAAGCTGTAGGTAATCGTCCTCCCTGATGGTTTTATCATCTCTCTCAATTAAAAAAAACAAAACATTGACTTAAAAGGGGTGTTTCCTTCATTCAAGTATTGCATCCTTTAGTCTCCAGCTTAAAGCACAAATGATGTTCAGTTATCCAGGTGCGCTGTATTCCTATAAAAATCACACCCATAAGCGATATGAATAATTTGAGTCAAAATCCGTCCTTTTCTTTCCTGAGCTCAGTTTAAAACGTGGTTCCACTCGTCCTGATCGTCGTCGGGATCCTTCAGAATGGAATCGATGTTAATGAGAGGAGTAATAAGAGGCTCGGAGACACACTAACAGCACATCTGATCACGGTGCTTGTTATGTCTTCCACGTGCACACGCCCATGCACACAACGCAAGAGTCTTTTGCATAATTTAATTTCTAATTACCAAGGCGAGTATGTAACAGGAGAGCAGGCAATTATCCCTCTTTCAATGTGTGTGTGTGTTTGTATGTGTGGTGGTTAAGTGGACGTTGGCGAGCGAGGCTCTCAAGTCTCAAAGCGTTCTTTTATCTGATCAGACCGCAAGACTCGGCTTCTTGAATTAATGAGGCGAGAGAAGGAAGAACTAAAAGGAAGCAAAAGAAGGAATGGAGGAAAGCCAAAGGAACTGAGGCAGCATGATTAGAGCCCTGATCTGTTCAACGTCATATAAAACATTCACTATATTCTTGTTTTGAGCACGTCACAGCTCCTAAACAAACTGAGGTTAGGCTGAAAGTGAAATAATCTACTTTTTTTACTGAGATCTGTCAATAATCTGAACATTTAAATGTTTTTTACTTAAAAGACATCTTTTACTGAGACGTACAGCTCATCACGTACAGACAATGGTTTTTGAGTCATTGATACACTTTATATCAGGTTTTTGTCAGCGTCGGTATGAGTTCTTCTGTCTATAGTGTTAGCAAAATATCTCACCAACAATTGGAAGCATTTTTATTAAGACCTAAAAATTAGTCGTTGGTTATTCATCTACAACTGATTAAGTTTTGAAGTCAACCCAACTCCACCACAGCCAACTGACATTAGAAAACACAAAAACTGCCACAACTCAACCAGTTCTACAGTAGAGTTGCATTTGGGCCCAAAAAGTCCGACCTGACCTGGCCCCAGCCCGTAGCCATCATTTCCGGACCCCCCCCCCCACCCCACCACCACCATTTTTAATTAAGCTTTGACTGCTTATGTAGTTATTAGTGGTCGGCGGACGCATGCGGTTGAATAAAAGGGGCAGAAGATCGGAGCTGAGGGGGTGTTTGTCCTTTCATGGCTGTCAAAGTGCATTAAATCCATGCTTCTGCCTGTATTCTGCATTATTCACACATGGACCCTGCTCTGACATGTCTGCTTTGGGATCGCACCTGTTTGGGTTGTCGGCCAATGAGTGCAGCAGCTCAACGTCCATTTGGCCGATGGATCGCTTCCTGGCAGTACCGGTAGTCCCATCTGAAGCTTAAATGAACTTTATTTTACCTCTTTCAAGACCGGTCAGCTCGCTGTCAAATGGCCGTGTGTGGCTGGTGATGGTATGGCAAGCCATGTTGCCATATATTTGGATTGTCAGCTGCACGCATCCGCTGATGCAATCAAAAGCTCAACACCGACACGGCCCGCCCATCCAGCACATTATTATGGCCTGGCATGGCCCAAATTTGGGCCGGGCCGGGCTTCGGGCCCGGGTTAGAAATGACAGTTCTATTTCACAGACACTGAGCTAAAATCTGGTGTGGTAGTAGCTGAGAGTAATTTAAAACACATACTCGGAGCACTAACAAATCACCTATAATGTTATTTTAAAGTAATAAAAAAGAAACTGTCCAGATGACCCAACTGAGAATTATTGGATTTGGTACCTGGATTATTGAGCACGAACTTTGTTGTTATTTTAAAGATTTGTCCAAAACAAACACAACACCATAATTTCTTAACACAAGGCATTCTTAATTTAATACTCCACTATGAAAAGCGACAGGTGATATGTGTTCCTTTAAGGGATGCTAGCCCACTAATGTACATAAAATAATGAAATATTGCTTATTGAGACAATCCTTAAATTACAGCATGACAGAGGCAGATGGAAACCTTGTAAATACACACTTTTAATCAGATTATCTCAATGGACAAAAGGCAGGAAAGCATCAGATCTTATAGTGTTCATCTTGAAAGGAAGCACAAATTTATATGATTATCAGAAATATTACTGCTCACCTGATGTCCTCGGATGGTTGAGTTCAACAAACTAAGAGGATAGATTTGGAAAGAAACTGTTTGGACAATATGTTAGGATTCTGTCTGTGAGTGTGAACCCAATGGTGCAAGCAGGCACAGGGAACTTGCAGGGTAAAGTAAAATAATATTTGTTAATAAAATAACAGGCTGTTGAGGCAGCAATACTCACATAGGGAGCGAGGAACCAAACATCTTGGATGACATTGCGCGGACACAAGGAGAACGTGGGGACGCAGACTTAAATACAAGACGCTAACAAATAGACAATGACAAACTCCTGGGGCAGGACAACCGGTGGCGGAGGCAGGAGCTGATTACAAGAGGCGAAACACTGAGGAGAGTAGGACAGAAGACAAGAATCACACAAACACACACAGATTCTCTCACACTACAAAACACTTAGAACAAATCTAACAGATTATTGGAGAAAATGTCCGGATCTCAAATTAACGAGTGAATTTAAACCAAACAGATTAAAGGAAACAGAAACCGTTAGTGCCACCATTGATAGGAACCGCGCTTAATCTTGAATACAAGAACGACATCTTGATTAGTCCAAGTATTTTTAGTAGCTTAAAGTCACATAAATATAATTTTGTTTTTATGAATTGGATTCTAAGTCCATGTGAGGTATACAATAATAAAAACTGAGCTATTTAAATAAATTCAGTACTAGTAAGAAAATAGATTTTGTTGCCTAAATGAATTAAATACATACTGTGGTGCTTCCCCCCTCAACTAAAGCATGCTGTTTAACTGTGTGGCTCCATTGTTTTCTACAGGAGACAATGAGGGACAAAATCTACACCCCTCTGACTGTAGAAAGTGCTGTTGATGCCAGGTGAGGGATCATAATGAAAAAGAAAAAGCACAAACATTTCAAACTATCTCCCTGACTGATTGCTACTTAAGCAGCACGTGTTCCTGCTAACTGATGTTTCTCAGAAGTTTAAAATGATAAATGACGTCTTTCCTGTGCAAATGTCTTCTGTTTAGAGATGCTGTTGCCAAGATTCTGTACTCGCTTCTGTTCCACTGGTTAACAGAGAGGATCAACGCTCAGGTGTACCCCCGCCAACACAGCCCCTCCATCTCCATCCTGGACATTTACGGTTTTGAGGTACACAAGTTTCCCATTGCCTCTTGTCCTGTTACAACTTTAAAATAATTTTAAACAAACATTAAAACGAAAACGGGCTTACCTATACAAATGTTGCCTTGGGTAAAAAGAAAGGATTTACGTTGTTTGAGCTTTAAAGTAGACACAAACCTTTTTCTTTCATGGCATAACAAGAAACTAAAACCTAACTTTAGGTGCATGGACTTGAGCATGGACTTTGTTGTCTAACTTTAGGTGGCATTCAGCGCTTAATCTGAGCCAGATCCTGTTCCGGCAGGATCCGGGAACTCTCTTATTTTGACAGGGTGCGTTCCGGTAACTGTTTGCTTGGATCTGATAACTCTCAGGCTTACTAATAATAAAATTATGAACAAATATGACTGCCTTGAACAAATAAAACTTATATATGTAAACTGAAAATAATTACATAAACACTCATTTTAAACAAAACCGCTACTTACGAGCTTCTTAATATCACATATCAGCTGCCCCTTCATGTAAGCATTTTAGCTTCTACCCTTAAAAAAAATCTCCGCCCCTAAAAGAGTGGCGGGGGTGAGTGCCGAGCTAACCTGGCAGTTGTACGCGAGCAGGAGCCCACAGTGCAGTCGCCATGAACAGACGGAGGAGGTGCCTGGAGATTTCACATGCGGAGTCAGACAGTGAATTCAGCAGAGAAGAGTCGGGCTCGGAACCGTCACGTAATGGGGAGGGGGGGAGGATGCTTGACAGAAGCGAAGTGTTTACAAATGTAGGTAAATGTAGATGTTTAACAACCTGTTGAAATACACCAAAATGCAGGAAATCACATCTACTTTACTCAACATTTTCTGGTGGAGGACCCCCAGACTGCCACCGGCCCACCCACTACTTGTATTCCGGCATCGATTGGTTTACAAATTAAGCCATGGTGGCATTCTTAGGGTGCATTCACACCAGCCCTGTTTAGTCCGCTCTAGTCTGAACTCTAGTCTGTTTGCCCAGAAAGTCCGGTTCGTTTGGCGAGGTGTGTGAATGCACAATCGAACTCTGATACGGACCAAAAAGGTGAACTCTGGTCCACCTAAATACAGAGGCCTCGGTTCGGTTGAAGTGAACTATGACGCAGTTCGAATGCAGTTCGAATGCAGTGTGAATGCAAGCGGACCGGAGACCGCTCCAAAAGCAGGAAGTGGACTACAGCACAGGGCAAGCAAACGCATTTCTCTTACCTCATATGAAGCTGTCAGCTGCCTTGTGTGAAAAACAACATTCTCCATGGTCTTCTGCCTCATCTTCCACTTATGCTGAGTCCATTGTTGAAAAATGACAAAACAAAAATCCTAAAACCGCTAAAATTTGACGCCACTCCATTTTGGTTTTTATTTCCAGAAGAAGAAGTGTCTTCTTCAGAGGTTTTTGTGTCGTTTTCTTCAGTAGTTCTTGGTGTAGCGCCACCATAGGCGGGGGGTGGGGGGGGGCAGGTTGGCTCGACTGAGTCAGTGCAGTGTGAATGCAAACCGCACCACCTGAAAATGTAAACAAATGTTCTGAACCAAGTCTACCGGTCTATCAGGTGTGAAAACAACCTTAGACAACTTTGTGCTATGAGTTAAATTATCCCAGTTTGTGGTTTGTCAGTGCTGAAAGGCGTATCTTGCCCTTCTACTTTGTGAACCTTATTACGCAGGCATGCATTATTTTCTCTGTAAATGATTACTGGTATAAAGATCTACAAAGACTGCTTACATTTGCTGTGTAACAAGGAGATTTTTGTATCTTTACTCTCGATTATCATCAAAACGTTGCAGACGTGTTGTTACTGCATGTGGTTACTGCATGTGGTTACTGCATGTGGTTACTGCATGTGGTTAGCAGAGACCTGACAGCACCTGTTTTTACTTGATGTTCTGCACATCATTTGCACCAGCCATCTGCTGCTTTTTAGCATCAAACTTGCAAAGCAAATAACAGGTGTTCTCTCTTTTTGTGTCAAGTTGCCCTTGCTGCACAACCTAAATATGTCTCTCTGCCACAAACACAACAGGTACAAAAGTGACAGAGAAAAGTGTTTTTATCACAATGAGCTCCTGCAAAAATGATTCCATGAGATAAAAACTTGAAGTTCTGGTTGTTAGCCTCTAGAAGTGAAGCACAATCCGTTGAAATCTTCTATAATCTTAGGTTTTGTATTTCAAATGTAAAACAACAAAAACAGGAATTTATTAACTTTTTTAACGTTTGTCTTTTTTACGGCAAATAAAGTCTGACACTGATCAGTGAGGATGAATCAAACCTTTTCCTGACATGCCCGCTTGCTTTTTACGAAGGCTGCAATGCAGCAAATTACTTCCCGTCCTCTTATTTTTCTGGGAATGCAAATGCAACCAGCTCTCTGGAGATGTTAACTACTTTGTACTTTGTATTTCAAGCTGAATGCTTAGGCACTTTTTACCCTGGCAGTTATCCACATAAACACGTTCGGGTTTTCTCTGAAATGCGAGCACAGTATCAATCTAATGTGAGCAAACAGTGCCAGATCAAAACAGCACAGTTTGAAGCTCACATCTCCCTTTGCAAGGTCTTTGAGAATCAAACAAATGTGCAAAATTCTTATTTTTGCTTGTGAGAGACACAGAATCCATTGGTGAATTTGTGCCAGAAGCTGATGATGGTGCAGGAGAGCTTTTCCCAAAAAGAAGTGGGAGAAAAGAAGATTAGTGAAGTGGCCAATCTTTTGTCATTTAGTCTCTTACCCTGAATTTTTTTTCTGTACTAGTTGAATAGACGGAAACAATCCAGATGATCACCAGCAGAACAGAGTGCGTTCACTCGTCATACAGGAGAGCAAACATTTATCTGCCCCTGTCATGTTCAGAGATAAAATTTAGGCTGAAACTCTTGAATAGTCATTCATAAGATGTGAAGACTGGATACATATAATCACCAGATTTGTTTCTTTATGTGCGTGCGTGCGTGTGTGTGTGTGTGTGTGAACAGGATCTGGCCTTTAACAGCTTTGAGCAGCTTTGCATTAATTATGCAAACGAATACCTGCAATTCTTCTTCAACCGGATCATATTCAGAGAGGAACAGGTGAGTCCACGCCACACCTGCAGTGCACACGTGAACACACACTCGTCATGAACTATTCAGAGGTTAGCCTTGGAGTGCATACTGTAGTTTAGGCCAATCATAATTAGTGGTAGAACCCAATATGTAAACTGGTAGAAGTGAGGATAACACACATTCAGTGTGAAAGTTGCTGTTGTATCTGCTCCCCCTGCAGGAAGAGTACAGCAGAGAGCAGATCCCATGGCAGGACATCACCTTCAGTGACAACCAACCCTGCATCGACCTCATCGCCGCTAAGCCTCATGGGATACTGAGGATTCTGGACGACCAGAGCTGCTTCCCTCAGGTGAGGAGTTCAACCATCAAGAAGCCTTAGTGGCACCCACCCTGCAACATTTATGTACATGGATTAAAAATATTTATCACAAGAGTGTGCTAATTTGTTGCCAGGCAACAGACCACACATTTCTCCAAAAGTGTCACTATCACCATGGCAACAGTCCACTGTATCAGAAGCCAAAGATGCCCCTCCCTGAGTTCACCATCAAGCACTTTGCTGGTCGGATCACCTATCAGGTACTCAGTCCCTCTTGACTCATCAGTTAACTTTTTACAGCTTAATCGGGGATAAACACTCCTGATGCTGAATAATGAAAGGAAAAATCTTATTTGAACAAAATATCATCCATTAATAAACATGTCACTGATGCAGGTGTACAAGTTCCTTGACAAGAACTACGATCAGGTCCGGCAGGATGTTCTGGACCTGTTCATTCAGAGCAGGAACAAGGTGCGTGTTGAACTTAAGCTAATCTGTGTGAGCAGATACAGTTGCAGAAATGTGTGTATGCAGGGTGTGTGAGAATATATGTTTTGGTGCTCAGATGGTGTCAAACCTGTTCCTGGCCCACGCAGAGACCACAGGTCAACAGAGAGGGGGTCACATGAGGAAGAGCAGCTCAGTCACCAGAAAGTACCAAGCTCCCACCGTCAGCAGCAAATTCCAGCAGTCGCTGCTGGAGCTGGTGGAAAAGATGGAGAGGTGAAGTCCTGCTCTGGCTTGGAGAACACAGACACAGCAATCTGCTCCAACTACTTACTCGCTTATTTTGTACTTTTGTTTCAGGTGCAACTCTTTCTTTGTTCGCTGCATTAAGCCAAATAACTTGAAGGTAGACCTGAAGACATTCTGTATTTCAGGACTTTTTGGTGTACATGTATGTAAACTTGTGTATTCATGTGTGTTTATTTGTCCACAGCTACCAGGAGTGTTTGAGGACGAACTGGTGAGCAGCCAGCTGAGGCATTCTGGAGTCCTGGAGACCATCAGGATTCGTAGAGAGGGGTATCCTGTCAGAATGCCATTCTACATCTTCCTTTTTAGGTAATGTACACACAGAACACGGAATCCCTTCAAAATCACTCAAAATACTGGGTAAAATCCTAATTTTCTCATTGAAAGTTTTCAAGATGAAAGGCAGTCTAGTGATCCTTTCATTGCCATTGAGAGACCCTGAATGAAATCTGGGTTCTGGACTCAGTCCAGATCAATAAACAGAAAAGTGAAGAGAAATCGTGGGCCAGACATGAGAAATGTAAGAAAAGCTGAAATGGGTAAATGAAAAGCTGTGCTGTCTTCAATAAAAACTTAAAGTGTATAGTCAATGTGTTATACTAGTGATGTCGTATTGAAACAAGACTTGGACATTTTACAGCCATTATATAAAAATCTAAGAATCACTCAACAACATTAGATCCATACTTAAGATCATATGGGACGATTAAATTTAAAAACGATGAAATTCTAGAGTCTCTGGACCATACCAAGTCTGTGCACATTGAGATCACACTTATCAGGGACAGACTGCGTTGGGTGGGACATGTTGCATGCCTGCCTGTTCACTGAACAAATATGTTGCTCTATGGAGAACTTATAAATGGTTCCAGAAAGACATTCACATCTATATCTATAGTCATACATATACGACTTTGTACTATGTCTCCTATAAACTCTCTCATGTATTAGTGTGTTACCCATATCCGGTTGTAGGCGATATATATCTTAAATGAGTTATCATAAATTGTAGATAAGTTGTGTTGTATAAAATAACTTGCTGTAAATACAGTAAAGTGTGCACAAGTTAATGTTCATCTGAAATTTGTCGACCAGTCTGTGTCCAAAAAGACTTAATTTGGGTCTGGATCCAGACCTTGGCCTGGAGTTTGGAGATCCCTTGTCTAGTACATTCAGGTGTGTGTTAACACCTCCCAGTCACAAAAGACACAAATGTTTGTTATATATTGCTACTATATCTATAAAGTTAATTAAATTATATCTGTCATGCTACTATAAAAGCAGGTTTCACTCTTCATCAGTCCAGGTTAATTAAACACTTAATATTCAAGCAAATTGTACTTTTATCATTAATACTTTAAAGATTATTTACAAGTAGAAAACGTCCAAGCTCACAGTTTTGACTGGAGTGTGGTTCTGAATAAACTCACAGCAAGATCAATGCTCAAAAAACCTGCACAGATCTAAAAGATACAACTTTGCATTAAGTTGCTTTTTGAAAGTTAAAGTCATGGTAGTATAATCAAAAAGTTACTGATCAAGAATAGTTTGTTTGATGTATGACTGAAGGAGTATTTCTTATTTTAAAAAGTAATGGTAAATCAGCTCAAGCACCTAAAACCATCCGTCAATGGTGGAGGGTTGATGGTTTGGGCCTGTTCTGCTGTCATCAGACCCGGAGACCAGAGCAGACCATGAACTCCTCTGTAGACCTAAATATTCCTGAATCAATTGTGAGGACATTTACTCTGTTGTGTCAACACGTCCATGTGAATGTGTGTCTTTCTCAGGTACAAGTCTTTGGTGGGAATTCAAGAACTTCCAGCAGCGAATGGAGAAAACTGTGTGATTTTGCTCAGTAAGCTGTGTCCCCTCCGACCGGGTGCTTTCCACGTTGGTGTCACCAAGGTGAGGTCCTTCATCTGATGGAAACCTCATCACAATCTTGTCCTGTCAAGATCCTGTGTTAGCTGTTATTAAGTTCTGTAACACCAGCTTGTGTCGTCAAATTGTTGTAAAGTGTTGTATATAGCACCAATATTTACCAGTTTAATTACATTTTTATGTCCCATTGGTAGTCGAGTGTAACCTCGTGTTCATAATTGTGTTCTTGTGTCTTAGTTGTTTTTGAAGGAGGACATCTACCAGTTGTTGGAATGTAAAAGAGAGCGATCTCGTCAGCTCGCCGCTCTCACCTTGCAGCGTTACACCCGCATGTTCTTCGTCAGGAAACGCTTCATTGACTTCCGTAAGAGAATCATCAGGTTTCAGGCCCGGAGCCGGGGCTTCCTTCTCAGGTACGAGCCCACTTTCAAATCTGACATCCCTAAAAGAAAAATGAAACTGTTCACTGCACCTTTGCTTGTTGATGTTTCAGTCAAATAAAAGTGTGTATGGAGTCTGAGATGCTAAAACACATGAATACTTTTACTTAAGCTTAGTTTATTTGGGATACTCATATTTAGTTTAAAGCTTAGTTTATTTGTCATATTGACATAGATTGTGAGGTAGAATATAAGGACAAACATCTTACTAACTATGAAACATAGTGATGGAGTGTCATGATTTGGACTTGCTTGTTCTGTAAATATTAATTTGTCTGATAAAATGAGTTGCATTTGACTTCCATTTCTTCCTGCAGGAAACAATATGTGAAAATGAGAAACAGTCTGGTCCGGTTTCGTGCCATTGTCCACATGTATGTCAACCGCAAACAATACATCAAGGTACTGCAGTAGAGTTTGATTATTACTACCTGTTTGTGTGTGTGTGTGTGTGTGTGTGTGTGCGTGCGTGCGTGCGTGCGCGCGCGCGCGCTTCCAAAATTTTTTATAAACAACTGGCTGAAGTTGCATGAAACTTGTGGAAATCATCACTGGATGTACACAATGCAACTGAAACATTTTTATACGACTGCTTTTTTTAAGCCAACCCAATTCAAGATGGCCACCACAGCCAGATGACTAAAAAACAAAATAACAATAAATGTTACTAAAATAATCATAAAATGTGATGTGGTAGTAGCAAAGAGTCATTCTCAACACATTCTTAGCAGATTGCACAATGTTGTTAGTCAAGGGAATTTAGGATATAGGTTTATGGATGTTTGTCAGCAACTAATGTTAAATTAATGTGTGTGAGTTAGAGGTTGTTTTTCCTCTCAGAGAGGAGCCTGCAGACACACCTGATAACTCCAAGGATAGCTCCTAGTCTGTAAGCTGTGAAGCCGAGGTCCTCTTTACCTGCTTCTGTCTGATAAGGATTATAAAAACACTTTCTGCCTCACTGTCTGGTGCAGATTCTCAAGACTTTAAGCATGTAACTTTGTACATCTGTGAAATACTTTTGTGATTGTCTGCCCTTGCAAGTAAAGACCGGTTCAAAATCTTCTCGTGTCCTCATAGTGGCTTATTTGAGTAAGTAGATAATAATAGGATATTTATTTATCTAATATTTTGGTCCTTCGAGCCGGATACGAACCAGTGAACCAAGGAAAATACTGTTGTTTACTGAAAATAAACCCATAACCTGTCAAACATCAGTTTAAAATATTTTCATTAACTGTTTGAAATCAACTCTGTCTGTTTGTTAGCAAAATATCTTACGAACTACTAGAAAGATTTTTAATAGAACCTTCAGGAAATAATTAATGGTTATATTTCTCTACAACCCTTAACTTTTGGTATAAGTTCAATTGAAGATGGTCCCTGACCTTAAAAAACACAAGAATTACTATAATTTAGTCCACTTTACAGACATTGAGCTAAAATTTGATGTGGTAGTAGCTGAGAGTTATCATCAACCCAACTCTGAGTGGTGTCATCTTCCGTGCATAACATTTTTTCTGTTTGACCAAAGCAGCTGTAACTCTCTTTGCTGCTCAAAGTGATTTTATTTAACAACTCTGGGAAGAAAGGCAGCAGGTGACATGCAGCCCATCAAAGACTTTTGTATTTTATTGTTTTAATGTTAAATTTTTGTCAGATCGTTAAAGCATACTGGTCAAAACATCAAGTAAAATGGCAGAGTTTATTGGTCATCAGTTGCTCTTATGTGTTCTTTTATGAAATGTGTAATTCTTGTGGTTTGCATGCAGATGAAGTTTGAAGCCAAAAGGAAAGTTGAAGAGGAGAAGAGGAGGAGGGAGATGGTAAAATTTATTTTACAGTTTAGCAGTCAGTATCAATAAAATTGGTTGTTTGACCAGAATGCAGTCCTACAAAGAAACATATATTTTTTTCCCAGGCGCTGAGAAAGCGCGAGGTGGTGAATGTCACGCACTTGGTGATCCCTGCAGAGCTGGGTGCTTTACTGCAGCCAGCAGGAGGTGTGTAGATGTCCGCCTTTCACATCAGCGTTCATCACATGCTGTCCTTCCATATAATTCATGAAGTGAAGCGCTGATAGAACTCTGCAGCTCTTTGAACGTAGCACTGACAGCACCAGCTTCAAAGATGATTTAAGTTGACCTGGCAGAGATAGATAGGAGTGACGTTAGGTAATAAATAAACCAAGAAGTGAAAATTAAGGCCCTTAATGGTATTTTTAAACAAGTTAGAAATAACCTGTCTGGTCAGCTTTCTTATTCCATGTGGTAAATACTGTAAAGAAGCATCTGCGTGTGTGCCGACTAATCATTTTGGTTCCCCATGTCCTTAATCTTGCCTCAGTCAGGAGGGAGCTGCATGCAGATTGTTTGGCTCTTCTTCAGGCGCCTCATATCCAAGAAGATGCTCAGCTCACTCTGCCTCTGGACATCAACAACTACCCTTTTCATCGCTACGTACAGATGCACTTCAGGGTGAGATATGCATCAATGTGCACAGTATCAACGTTCAAAAACTAGCTAAGTGATTATTTTGTACAACATTCAGTTTGCTCCCGTGTGTGGTTTCTCAGGTTTTCCCTCAGAACGGTCTTATCCTCCAGTGAAAATCTGTTAATGAAACTTTCAGGAAGTAATTATTGGACACACTTCTACAACTAGTGTTTAATGTCAGCTGAACTCAAAATGGCTGACACACCGCCTTAACAAACAACACAAAAATAGCAAAATCTCATTCAGTTTTCCAGATAATTAGCTCAAATTGGGTGTGTTAGTAGTTGAGAATCATCTTCAATTTATACTTTAGCGCTCACAGATTGAGTGACATTTTAGCCTAAAAATTTAGGTGTAACTTTTGGACTCAACCCTTCTGGTCTGTTAGCAAAATATCTCATGATCCATTGGACAAGTTTTAATAGAACTCTGAGAGGAAACACAGCAAGTGATTGCCTTTTAGAGTCAGTCTAATTCAAGATGGCTGCCACATCCGATTAACCTTTGCAAACCCAAAAGTGTCCATAACTCGGTCAGTTTTTTAGATGTGGAGCTGAAACTGGGGGTTTGTTGTTGCCCATTGTTACATAGATTACAATTTTAAAGCTTGATTTTTGCATTTAGCCATCGTTGTCTTGAACTTTTTGTGTCCAAGAACACAGACCTTTATTTTTCTGGACTGACTGGTTTTCAGGATTCAACATATAACTTGAGAACATACAACACCCAGCCTGAGAACACACACTGCAAACTGAGCACAAACTTCCATACACTCACCAAAGTAATAGAAACATACTGTAAGGGTTTTATTATCAAACTTTATGTCTATTTTGTCTCGTTTGACAGCAAATATCTGGTACTTCCCATCATTTAGAGATCCTTAATTAAAAAGGGAAGGTTTTTTGATAACTCTGTGCATAGTTTTTAGTCCATTCTCTACAAATAAAGTTCTATATGACTTATGTACCTTAGTGTTGCTACTTTGTACACATTTTTCAAGTTTCTGACTGGAAAAAAAACACTAAAGTTCATAAAAAAGAACCCAAGTTGTCCAACCGGGACAAAACATTTGACAAAATACTGGTAGATGGTTATTGGCCCAACTTTTTCTGAAGTGGAGTAAACTCTACTTTGGTAAAAAGATTGTGCTGCTATTAGCAAAGCAAACAGTGAGCGCAAATCTCTTGACATGCACCCTAAAGAAGGATAAATGTATACTTTTTAATTAAATTACAGTTTATTTAATGATTTGTTTGATTCATGTGAGCAAAAACTTATAATGAACATGTTGTCAATGTTATGAAATTGCACCAAAATCTTGTTAGGAGTGGTCAAACTTGTGACTAAATGATGCGCTTTAACAATCTTTATGAATCGTTTGTTGTTGTAGGAGCCAAAGTTTGGACTGTTAATGGCCCCTTTAGAGTCCTCCCTGACCCGAGTGGAGGACGACGTGATAACAGAGGCTTTGGAGCTGTTCAACATGGTAGAAAGACGTCTTTAGTAGTTTGTTTTCTTTCTTCCACAACAAACAGAGTGCAATGTTCTGAAAGAACAAGATTTTACACAGGCACATCAGAATTAGTTGTAATTTTCACCTTTGCTCTGTCTTCTTCAGGTTTTGCGTTTCATGGGGGACCCTCACCTGAATGGTGCACAAGAAAACATGTTTGGGAACTACATCATCCAAAGAGGTCTGTTGTCTCCGTGCTTACGAGACGAGATCCTGGCTCAGGTTGTCAATCAGGTGTGGAGAAACACAAACTCTGACAATGCAGAGAGAGGCTGGCTCCTGCTGCTGGCATGTGTTTGCAGCTTCGCTCCATCACCCAAGATGGAGAAATACCTGCTGAAGTGAGAAGCTGTTTCTTATTAATTTAAAAGTTTAACATTTTATATCTTTTATGATTTGAAAATAAAACTCAAGTTGTGGCGATCAGTGTAAAACCTATAAGAAAACCTCCCAACTTGTTTTTCTTTCTTCTTCATCTTCTTCAGTTAAATGGCATTTTTGAACAGGTTAGGCACATTTATAAATCCCAAAGACAATATAAATATAAACACTGCTCCGAAATCAAACAAGGTTGAGTCAATAAAAGAACCCGTTCAGAGGACCTGACTGTAATGATCGCCTTTTTCTGCCACCTGCCACACCCACTTACCCGCTCTATTTCAGAATCCCATCCACGGCAAGTCTCTGCCAGATTATCGAACCCTTCATGGTATTAGATATCCAGCCATTTTGTTCATGTTCACGACTGACGTTCTCGTCTCGACCTCACGCCTTGTCTTTTGGATGTACCGCTCTGCTCCTCATCTAGTTTTGTTCTGCCCTTCTGACCCTGGTACAGACTACCCCTTCTGCCTTACAGATATTGGATTACAGATTGATCTTTGGATTTGTCTTTGGACTTCTGACTCCCCGTGCTTGACCCCTGCTTCACCTTTTTGGACCATGACCTTGGATTGCCCCGCTGTTCACAGCATTAAAGACCTCCCTCAGCAGCAGCTCTCCCACCGGTTGCGGTGACGTCATCTCTCCAAGCTCCGACAGGTGGCTTCCAACTCATCTGCCTTAGAAGACATGTTTCCACAACTGGATCTAGACTCCCACCAGCAGCTGCAAAACAATAAATTTGTTTTGAAATGCTCTTGTTGTCTGGCTGAATTTTGAATCCAAACACCAGGTCCTTGACACTGACTCAGCAATGTTGGATTTATCTACCTGGATTATTGAGCATGCATCAGGATTGCTCCTGAACTAAACAAGAGTACCACATACAGCACATTACACCCCTGTCAACAAACGGTTTTACAGCAATACAGCAAATTTATAGCAATGTTTTGGACAGACAAAGACCTTGGAGGTGGGGTAATGAAAAGTGCATGCAACGCACCATCTAGTGAAGATACAAGTGTGTCTGAAGGTTTGTTAAATTGTTTTGAGCAGGTCAGAAGTTACGGTCTGAACAAGAGAAAGTTTACAAACAGATAGATGGAGACTATACCATAATCTGCTCACTTTTCAACAGGCGTATAATAAAAAGCCTCATCGCCACTACTAACTCTGCTTTAATTTGCCTAAACCTCAATCTAACTCATATATTCACTTGTTTTTTCCAAACTATAAACTAAATAATTTGCAGCTGCCTCATCGTATGAAAAATCAGACCAAACTAGGCCTTCAGGGGGAGGGGCCTTGAAGAGACATAAGCTTAAATGGAGCATTTTAAGCAAAGTGTGACATTTTCTTAACATAACCAGGGATTATATATAGCATATGTAATTTTATGCTGAGCATTAAAGTGTGACCCAATGTGATGTTTGCTCTCCAGGTTTGTGTCTGACCAGGCTCCTGCAGGTTGCCAGGGGCTGCTGCAGCACAGACTCATCCAAGCCAATCAGAAAATGCAGTTAAGCTCTGGCCCCACCCCTGAAACTGCACGGACCTATCCGCTGTCGCTGCTGGAGTGGACAGCCAATAGGAAAAAGGCTAACATGGTGTTGCACGTGCACTGTTTTGATGGTGAGATACCATTTAATTTACAGTAGTATGTCGGAAAGGTTATGTTGAGCTCCTACCTGGTGCAGATGGCTCTTTGATCGGTCTCAATTTGAAAAACAAAAAAGTTTGGTTTTGACGAAACTGATGAGCTCATGACTTGTCTGAGTGAGGACAAGACAGGAAGAGTTTTCTGTCATCTTAAAACGACTCGAGTTGCAAATGACTTATAGAAAAACTCAGTTTTTAAAAATATTTATCAATTCTGCGTTACAAAGTTATTTACTTATAATTTCTAGTTCACTTGCATACACAGATGGCAGCAGCAGCTAGCTCTAGCATTTGCTGCAGGAATATCCTAATATTTCTGCAGTAGAAACTATGTAATGTGAAACTGATGATAATGTAAATGTTTATGAAATGGGGTTTGCATAAACAGGTAGGAGTTGTTTTAAGATTACAACAATCCACTTTGGTCATGACCCAACGTGGACTAGCTATTAGCTTATCGGTCTGGTCAGAATTGTTTCTCTGAACGGAGTTTGTTCAAAGAGTCATCTCCAACAGGTAAGATACTAACTGTTCATAACCTTCAGAAAATCTGAAGCTTTCAATCAAGTCCTTTGCTCTTTTTGGATGATAATATAAAAAGAACTGTGAGCAAGCTGTGCAAAATAAATGTAAATACAATCACAAAATCATCCTTTTTTATATAAATATGTATTTATAACATTATTCTTAAAGCAAAAAACATGTTTACATATAATGCGCATGCTCAAAGAGAAGCAAAGATCAAAATTCTGCCCAGCAGGGCAATGTTTTTATTAGATGGCTGAATTACAGCCTGATAATGTGATCATTGATTATTTATTGCCAATCAGGTAAAGAAAGTTCAAGCTTACTGGACTTAAAAATTCTATGCATTATGAATGACGTCTCTAAATTTGATTATTTTTTGTGCAGGAGGTTCCTTCCTGTGTCCGGTGCATTCTTGGACTAGTGGAGAAGATTTAGCAGGACACATTCTCCGTCACAGGTCATAATGATCATTTATGTTCAGTCATACTTACATCTCTGGGTTGTAGTGCTTGAAATCTTTATTTTAGTCCACTCTCAACACAAACACTTGTTTTTATGTGATATTAAAGCAGTTGTTGCTTTGAGCTCCTCATGCATGAAGGTATTGTTTGGTGGTTTCCAGAGGAGTGTCTGACTGGTGGAGGGGCTCTTCCATCCTAATGAAGGAGCCGAGCCAGTGGGTGGAGTTGGCGGGACATGACTACGTCCTGGATCTGATTGCAGACCTGGAGCTTCCTGTGGACTTCCCAAAGCAGAAGAGTTACTTCATCATCAGCACTGACAACCCGGCTAAAGTCAGAGCTAATGCCAGCCTGTCAGTGAGCAAAATATGTTACTGGCATCACTTTTGTGGGGAAAAGCCCCAAAGACAGCAGGTTCTAAAGACAACGTTCTCCTCTGTTCTCCCAGGACGTTGTTTGGAGGTGGCTTTGACTCAGACGAGGAGCTTCCTTCTTCCTCCCCTCTCAGCATCAGACCAGCCTACAGTCTGCCAGACTCTGAAGGTTACTACAGTCACGGTACTAAAACACACACAAATTAAAACAAACTGTACATTTACAAGTAAAACTCTATTTGCAGATAGAGCAGCTGTATCGTTTATGGTGTTAGAAATTTTCTTAAATCCCAATTTTATAGTTATATAATAGTAATTTTAATCAAACAACATTTGAGCATATATATATAT